AAATAAACTACTAGGCGGTCACTCACATTGTCCTATAACAGACCAAGAAATTCAAATTTTCTATTTGAATCAATTTGAATTTTAAATTCAACGGTTTGCTACTTACATAATTTTATTTAAATAAATTCCAAATAGGTGCGAAAACGTTTGTGTTGGATGTGAGTTGAAAATTAACAAAGCTGTGCATTTTAAAGTAATCTGATTATAATTACTTTTAAAAATAACCGCTAAAATTAATAATGTGTCCAAGAAAAACAAGATGTAATTTTCCCCAAATGTTTTCTTCTTACGTAATGTGATTAATGAACCATTATGTACAGGGTGAGTCAAATCGGACGCTTATAAAGGGAAACACCCTTTTCTATAGGAGATTGACGAAAACTAATATCGGTGTCTGGAGCTCAATTTTCATCAACAATATGACGGTAAAAACCGCACATCGATATATGTTACCGTTTCGGAGTTACGGGGTGGTTTTCAAAAATTTTCATTTTTAAAAAATCGCTGTAACTTTTTTGCTATGAAAAATTTTGTATTTTTATGAAAACATTTCCAAAGCACCTTTTTACATAGAATTTAATGGTTTAAGTATAATTTTTTAAAAATTAATAATTTAAGAGTTACCAACAGAAAAATTGATTTTTCATTTGGGACACCCTGTATATTTTTAATTAACTGAAAAGAACTAATTACATTTCCAAAAATACAGGGTTGTTCACCACATACGACACGGAGTATTGTAGCTAAACGATGAGATTTTTACATATTGTAAGTTTGGGGTTCGTTGGACTATTAGAGCTACAATTTAAAAATATTTTTACAAGATACAGAGTGTCCCAAATAAATAAAAAATATCAAAGTTGTATTTTTTTAAATGGAACACCCTGTATATTATTACATTTTTAGTTTCTACGATTAAAATAAAGGTAAATTTGATTAAGGTTTATTATACTTAAACCTTACCGTTTTTGAAATATTTTCAATTTTGTGAAATTGCAGTAAAAATTTTAAAGCTTCATTTCTCCAAGGGTATCAATGTTTTTAATACTAAATATTTAATGAAGTTTATTTATTGATCAGTTATTGTGTTGCAATAATACAAATAATACTACCTTATACAGAGTGTCTCAAATTTTTTTAAATAATTATTAGCTTCAAACGGCAATAACTTCTTTAATTTAAATGGAATGCCCTGTATATTTTAGGAGAATCAGATGCACAATTAAATTGTCTATCAAATTGTATTATACCATTTTTTACCTATCCCTTCAAGTTTTCGTAGAAAATGCATTTTCTTATAATTTAGACCTCATTTATCAATATATCCATGGAATATTGACATTTTAGATTGTTTTTAAAGCAACAAATGTACAAAATGTACAGACTAGTAATATTATCGTTTTTAGCAAAACGATAATATTACTAGCCCATTTGTATCCAAAAAGAAAACTATTTAAATCTTTATAAAAGAGTATACCATTAATTAAATATAACACCATTATTTCCGCCCATATACTAATTAATTACATACTTAATTGTGTTCGTTAATAAATTATTATAAATAAATGTGGATTTGAGTCAGAAATCAATATAATAATAGGTTATCAAATTAAAGTCTCTGTTGTTATAAATAAGCATTTATTAAAAAATGAAATATCATTTTTAAGGTGTTACTTTTTATCACACGGTCTAATGCCCATACAAAATTCAGTTTTTTAGTATTTGGAGCAATTAACAAATATTTAAACAGTTTTTTTTTTATTTTTTAATGAAATAAACGAATTATATCGACAATATTAGTATTTGTACTCTTTAAAAATTTGGTACATCTTTAAAAATAATCTAAAATGTCAATAGTCCATGGGTATATTGATAAATAAGTTCTAAATTACAAGAAAATGCATTTTCTACGGAAACTTAAAGAGATAGGCAAAAAATGGTATAATATAATTTGATAGACAATTAAATTGTGCATCTGATTCTCGTAAAATATACAGGGTGTTCCATTTAAATTAAACAAGTTATTGCCGTTTGAAGCTAATAATTATTTAAAATAAATTTTTAGACACTCTGTATAAGGTAGTATTATTTTTATTATTGCAACAAAATAACTGATCAGTAAATAAACTTCAGTAAATATTTAGTATTAAAAACTTTGATGCCCTTGGAGAAATGAAGCCTTAAATTTTTTACTGCAATTTCACAAAATTGAAAATATTTCAAAAACGGTAAGGTTAATATACCTTAATCAAATTTACCTTTATTTTAATCGTAGAAACTAAAAATGTAATAATATACAGGGTGTTCCATTTAAAAAAATACAACTTGATATTTTTTACTTATTTGGGACACTCTGTATCTTGTAAAATTATTTTTAAATTGTACCTCTAATAGTCCTTCATCGAACCCAAAACTTACAATTTGTAAAAATCTCATCATTTAGCTACAATACTCCGTGTCGTATGTGGTGAACAACCCTGTATAGCACACTTGATATTTTATTATAGTCCCCTTCGAAATACAGAATTTTTAAAAGTTCGCCACTTTTTAACTAGTAGGCTTTGGACCCCTTATTGATGATCTGTCCCTAATGGAACTCATATACATATTTTTCCAGCAAGACGAGGCACCGTCTCAAAACACTGAAGTTATCAGCAAATTTTTGCAGCCAATTTCGATAATAATTATTGAATAGCTAACCAAGGTTCCAGCCGTTGACCGTCGAGGCCGCCGGACTTGGTGCCTATGGATTTTTTATCTTTACGGAAGAATAAAGGTTCTTATTCCACTGAGTTAATGAATTCCGCGAGAAATGTTCAAAAAAGGTCCCGTCTGTCCATAACAGAAGACGGTCGATATGTCGAACACCTATAGCAAAATTTCATGTTTTGGTTTGCTATTTATTTTTATTGTTATTGAAGTTTAAATGTGTTGTTAAATATAGTTTAAATTGTTATAAAATTCTGCATCTCTCATTGCAAATATTATTTTCGTTTTAATTGCTGCTCACAGCTAGAATTTTTTTGGCATTACAGCCGGCGCCTTTCAAAGCCTACTTATTCCAAGTGGGCGAATTTTTAGAAACTCTCCAGCTCCAAGAGGAATCGAGTAAAATATTAAGTATTCTATATTTTTGAAAAGGTAATTTTAAATTCTTTTCAATGAATTAAAAATATACGAGGTGTTGCATATAAAAAATCAAATTTTCTGTTCATAATTCTTAAAATAATAATTCTAAAACAAAAATATACTTAAACCATTAAATTCTATGTAGAAAGGTGCTTTGGAAATTGTTTTATTAAAATACAACATTTTCTATAGCAAAAAAGTTACAGCGGTTTGATAAATGATAAAAATGCACATTTTTGAAAAACACCCCGTAACTCCGAAACGGTAACAGATATCGATGGGCGGTTTTCACCATCATGTTGTTGATAAAAATTGAGCTCCAAACACCAATATTAGTTTTCATCTAGCTCCTCTAAAAAAGGATGTTTCCCTTTCAAAGCGTCCAATTTGGCCCACCCTGTACAGGGTGTCCCAACACCCAACATATCGTGCGTTTTACAGTTCCTGAAATACAGAGCGAATTTGAAAAATGCATTTTCATTTATTTTAAAAAATTCCATCTTTGTACCTCTACTAATAAGCGAGAAAGCCTGTAAAACATACGAAAATGGGACACCCTGTACAATAAATTTAATTGAATCATACTGTGATGATGTAAATACACATTAATACATGCATTACACATAAAAACCAGCTATGTATGAGAAATGTCTACATTAAAATTATGTATCTAAATATATTCATAAAAAACACACCACTGCTGGTTCTATGTTCAAGTTATTATGACAGGAATGAAAGAGAGATTAATTTAGTAACCTGTTTACATCAAATCTGAAAACCATTTTCGTAATCAGAAATATGTAAAAATAAAATCTTCGTAGGTGGTACACTGATGAAAGATGATACATTGTTCTTAAGATGACTATGATTTTACTGTATGACAAAACTATCAGATTTTTATATTAAATCATTCTAGAAAAAAATGTATTAAGGCTTAAAATAGTTAGAAAGGTATTCGAATTAAAAATACGCCGCTTTCGAGAAACAAAAATAGACTGATTCTATTTTAAGTCAAGATACAATTAAGAAAAAAGAACCAAGAATGTAAGTAAGTAGTTTCATGGCAAGGTATTTCAAATAATGATATAATTCTACTAGTTTAAAGCCAATTAAGAACCAGTTACCCTTATTTTTTCTTAAAATATCTGTAGCCTATACAAGTAGTTTGTTGCATAAGTAAATAATAGTTTTAACCATGTAAATAACATTGGTTAATTGAGGAAATACATTTCAAACAAAACTTTACAGTAAAAATACTTGAATAACATTGAAAATGCTTGCAAACCCGACAAGAAAATATAGTTATTTAATTAAATAAGTTAGTGTCAATTAGTAAACGGATTATCCCATGCAAAAACAAAGCTACTTTCTTTTATAAACAAATAAATTCGATAGCGTACACAGGTGTCTAGTAAAGACCTCTTTAAACTTTGGCCGTGCGCCAGAAAACCACCTTATTACTTACCGAGGTTTACTAAGGCTCATTTAAGGCTATTTTACGCGGGGTCTCATGTCTCTCGAACATTTTTGCATAGAATGATTCAACAAAATCGATGGACACCTTTTTTCTTCACTGAAGGGTGTTAACTTTTCGAAAACGACTCGGTGTTTAGGTTCGCGCGCTACGGAAAATTACGGCACCGCACTAAACACTTTGTTAACTGTAAATCTAATTAAAATCTAGGTTTTAAAACGTTTTTTTCATTAAAACCATTATTTAATCGGAAAAATTTACACATGTGTAGTTCGGTGACGACATTTCTTTTTCGGATCGTCGCCGGAATACCAACTTAAATTTTGTTGACATTTTTCAACCTAAACAAAAATCACTAAGTTGACATTTAAATAATAAGTTCCTAACTTCACTCAAATCGAACGCTATTTATCAGCTGTTCAATATCAAAAACTTCTCCAAAATAAACAGTTCCATTTATTTTTAATTATTCAGTGTTATTATAGTGAAAATGGGAAATCAGCTGGTAGGAATAGCCCCCTCGCAAATATTTCCAGTCGAGTGGTACCTCAAGGACCATCCAGAATTGAAATTCGACGCCAGGTAATGCTAAGTCTAATAAAATATTTGAAACCTTTTCTACAAATACCTTTTTAAGCTTGGGAAGCACAAGATTTCTTAAGGTTGCTCGTGCAGAATCTCAAGAAGGTCCGGTAGTAGTAAAAGTATTTGCAATACATGACCCATCATTACCGCTTCAAAGTTATAAAGATCATCTAGACGAGATACGAAAAAAGTTATCAAGTGCTGTTAATTGTACCCCTTATCAGAAGTTTATATTAACAGAAAAAGCTGGATTAATTATGAGAGAATATGTTAAATACAGTTTATATGATAGAATTAGTACCAGACCATTTTTGACTGTTATAGAAAAAAAGTATTTGTGCATTTTGTTATAAAATATTTTTTTTAAAACATCATAATTTTAGATGGATAACTTTTCAAATTTTGTATGCTTTACACCAGTGCCATAAGGTTGGGGTATGTCATGGCGATATAAAGCTAGAAAACATCACAGTTACATCATGGAACTGGGTAATGTTAGTTGATTTTGCTTCTTTTAAGCCAACATTTTTGCCTATCGATAATCCTGGTAAAGATTTACCTTAATACCATTATTTCTTTTACTAAAAATAATTTTTTTAGGTGATTATTCATATTTTTTTGACACATCAAGAAGAAGAACATGTTACATAGCTCCAGAAAGATTTTCAAGTGCTACAAATTTATCTTTGAATGAAAGTAGTGCTCTTATTGCAGAAAGTACTTGTGATTCGGGTGATTTAACACCGGCAATGGATATTTTTTCAGCAGGGTATAGTACCATTTCATAAATGACAATCATTGCCGGGATATAGCTACATTTATACTTTTTTAGATGTGCTCTCTTGGAGTTATGGAACGAACTCCATTTTCCTTTTGACTATTCCCAATTACTTGCTTACCGTGCAGGCAAATACTCTCCTCAAAAGCATCTCGATAAATTAGAAGATCCAAATTTACGTGATCTAATTTCTAGTATGATTGAAAAGGTTTTTTTTTTCTATTTTAAATGTTGTAAACTGTTTTAATTTTATTAACATTTCAGGATCCATTAAAAAGGCTTTCTGCCGAAGATTACCTGGATCAGCACAGGGGAAAACTATTTCCAGAATATTTCTATTCGTTTTTACAGTCTTATATGCTGATATTCTCCACCAATCCCATTCTGTCACCGGACGAGAAAATTGCCAGGCTTAAAGGAGATATAGCAAACATTTTTAAAGTAAAGGCGGATTCTCACGACTGGCGTACTTGACAAGTACGCCAATATTTGCGTACTTGGCAAGTATCCCCACCAGTCCCCACTTTGTACTACATTGGCAAGTGTACTTGGCAAGTACGCCAATATTTGCGTATTTGCCAAGTACCCGTACAATCCTTTTCAAGTAAACAGTATAGTCGCATCGATGGATACTGGTCGTCCCGAAATTGTCGTTGCTAGTGATTCTTTTTTCTTTTTAATTTCTTTTACTCTACACTGCAATACGATTTCTATGTTCTTTATATTTGGCCATCCATATGAAGGGCTCATTTTCGTATAAATCCCTAAATTCCAAAACATCATTTGAAGACTACACGGGAAAACCCAGTTTTGTCCATTTTAATTTGAGCCGAGAAAAATGCAATTTAGTGTTTTTAAAGAAATATGTTTTTTTCGGTTGAATAATTAGAAAAATATTTATATTACTACCAATTCTGAATTATTAATATTGCGAATTATCGCCATATTCTGAAATATTGAAATAAAAATCTAAATAGATAATCTAAAAAAATAGTCAAAATGCAAAACAATACAGGGGAAAACCAGAGATGTTCAATTAAATAAAGGTTGTATAAAACCTAAATCTAAACTATTATTTTTTTGTTGAAAATTTATATTTAAGTAGGTTTTTATTACAATACATAAATTTATAACCATATTGATAACGAAAAAAATATTCTGTATATACGTACATAAATTAATTACGTATGTGTGTACCTTTAAGATTGTTACATAAGGATAATAGTTTTCTATCGATCGTGTCAGATGATGTTTTTGAAAGATTTGTTGATTCATCTATGTTTTTCGGTCAGTGGAGATTATTGTTGTTTATTGTAAGCTTCGGCAAGTTTCAAGCGGAATAAATTTGTTTGTGTTTTTGATTTTCGACGTTTATTTTCTGTAATATCCCTTGTTTTAATAATATAATACTAATTGCAAGATTGTCGCCCATGCGTAAATACATCTCTGGTTTTTGCCATTTACGCGTGGACTACTCTAGCTTTTCCTTTGTACGGCAAAATAACCAAGCTGTAATATCTCTGGGACTAAGCGTATTGTTGCTTTCTTTTTTCGAATGACGTTAACATTTGTCTATATCTGTTTTTTCCCGTGTAGTCCTCATTTGTCCACTCCATTTATTGCTGTGAAAACGATTTAGGTATGTCGCCAATATTGAAGTTATTAATGTAAATTTGATATTACATAATCTATTATTGTTTTAACGTTTTAAATTATCCGCAATTAACTCGAAAAACACTACGATCCGGAAATAAATCGGACATACGCTATAACAGTAACATTATTTGCGCAGTCGTTTCTTTGCGCCTCGGCAAAGTGTAAACAAGGCTGGCCAAGTATACTTGGCAAGTGTACGATTAATCGTTTGACTCGGGCTATATTTACCGGCAGAGAGTGGGGACGCGACAAGTGACCAAGGAACCCGTTCTCACGACATGGCAAGTATATTCCAATAACAAATGTTTGTCAAGTACGCCAGTCGTGAGAATCCGCCTTAAGTTAAGTTTCAGAGAAATAAGTTAACCTAGAGGGGAGTTGTCTTGCATTATTGCCAGATTTCACAGGAATATCAGTCGAACAGAAATCTATAATATGCATTATGCATTATTATGTCTTCTTTACAACTAATCATATTAAAACAGGCTAAATTGTTTGGTATATACAGGGTGGATCAAAACGAAATATAATGTTTTTCTGTGCTGTTTCAAATGGAACAAGGGGAGGTATTTTTGACATAGTCACTCAAAAACAAATTCTATTTTAAATTTCAATCTAGAGTGCCATGGCTGTGTTAAAAACACTAATTTTTAATCATGGAGCCTTGGAAAAATAGATTTGATCGTTTAATGTTTTTAGTGCCTTGTCCAGGCCGTTTAAAGGTGGCTCATTAGCATATCTGGAAAAAGCATTTTTTTACGAATAATTTGATACCACACACTATTTTGAGTCAAATTGTCGTTATGAACCGCATATTACAATTTCCATATTACCATATGCCAAAATGTCAAAAGTTGACATATGATATGTCAGTCGATTCAGAGTGTCATTTTCTATCGAATAAAGTAAAAAAATACCGAGGGTGCCATTTAAAAATCAAAAGTTGTAGTCATTTCCGGTGAAACCGGAAGTGACCGAAAACAATTGAATACGTCAATCAATCCCAATTTATGTCACATACTAACATACCAAATATCGTTGTTTTACCTGAAAAAATAAAAAAGTTATAGGGGTGAGCCAGTTTTGAGACGCACCCGGTATACTGAGTGGATCAGAACAAAAATAATGTTTTTCTATGCTATTTCATGTAGAACACCCTATATTTTATACCATAATGCAATAATTTGCGTTTTTCCGACTTTTAAGTACTTCATACACCAAAATTGATATACAGGGTGCCCCAATATTCCGTGGACATAGAATTATACTTATATTTTCGCCAACTAGAATCTAATAGATTTTATGCGTCTCCATAGCTTGGTGTGATAAAAAAACATTTTTTGAAAGTCAGATTCGGAAAAATAATTTTTTTCCTCAAAAAGTATGCGCGGTGGCGTTTTTTTACAAGAGACAAAAAATGTAGTAAATACTATAAGTATCATTTTACAAAAATAAAATCGGTTGTCGGTTGAGTTGGAAAATATTTATGCTAAAATTTATGTAGGGGTGGGGGTAGTTTTTACTCTTCCCGTACTTTTTCTTGATTTTTTTGTAAAGTTAAATGTTAGAGCACTTAGCAAAATATAGACACCCAAAATCTCATTTAAATCGGAATAAGGTTTCTTAAAATATCTGAAAAAATGTAATTATTTTTTTAAAGTTTAATGCCCTCTAAGGGACAAAGGAGGCACTTTTGTAGAGAGGTAAATTGTGCCCAATGAGCTTATTTTGGTACTATGTCCTCTGAATATTGGGACACCCTGTATATTAAATAATTTTTGATTTTTGGAAAATAAAAAACATTTTTTTTAAATAAACACATAAAATAACGGGCCAACCAACCTTTCAGTGCGTATATATCCCTCGTCCTGAAATGCAAAAAAAACAATAAAGAAAAAACTATTTTTTTATTTGCTTGTTTTTAGTTTTTAGGGCCTGTTACAATAACCTCAAACGAAGATGAAGAACAAGAGTTAGAGTGTGAAGAAAAAAAGGACACAGAAAAATACCAAGAGAGAGGCGAATGTGAGGGTCTAGTTCTTATAATCTCTCTGGTTAGTTCTTGCATTCGAGGACTCTATGAGTGCTCTTCAAAACTTTACAGTCTTGAGATTTTGCTTGAACTAGCACATCATGCCAGTGACGAAACGGTTTTGGATAGAATTTTACCCTACATAGTAAGTTTATCATTTTAAAAAATTGGTCGAGTGCGAGTCGGACTCGCGCACGAAGGGTTCCGTACCATTCATTATCTATACAACATTAGTCACTATATTATTATAAACTCTTTTTCCGATTTAGCTGAAATTTTGAATGCGCGTATAAGTAATTTAAAAAAAATGAAGAAACACATTACTAAAAATTGTATTAATCAATAATAAATATGTAAAAAGTAAAAATAAATATGTAAAAATAAAAAAAAACGATTAAAAAAAGTCGCCTTGACTGGGATTCGAACCTGCCTTACTACGGCTCCAACGTCATAGCAGCGTAAAGTCCTAACGCCTTTAACCGAGGACTTGAAAGATTCTATGTAAAATTCTTACTTAAGTTGCTTAGTGAAAGTACTTTTTTATTTATAAACATTTATTTAATTCTGTTTTTAGTATTTGTTCTTATAGCGGCAACATAGATACATTATCTGTAAAACTGTCTAGCTATAACGGTTCATAAGATAGACCTTTGTGACAGACGGACGAACGGACGGACGGACAGCGAAGTCTTAGTAATAGGGTTCCCGTTTTTACCCTTTGGGTACGAACCCTAAAAAGTAACCTATTTTAGTAATTTTTAAAATTATCATTGAATGTCATTCACCAGCCGTCTTTGACGCCGTTTTTTTTTCGATTCTATGGTATTTTTTCTAAGTATTTAATTGTTTTTAGATGTATCTGGCCCATGATAACAATTCCAGAGTAAAAATATCGGCTGTGAATACTATCACTAAATGTCTGGATTTAGTTCAGAAACTACCTAGATCAGATGCTAATATATTTCCTGAGTATATTTTACCTGAGTTGGCGCAGTTGGCTACCGATCCTAATGTTTGTGTGAGGGCAGCTTATGCTAAAAATATTAACAGTCTGGCAGAAATAGCCTTACGGTAAGATTTAAGAACATAAGTTTAAGACACTTGTTGAAGTGAAACTTCTTTACGCGCGATGGGAGTAAAAATAGCTCAGAATTAGAATTATTAGAGTTAAGCAACTCGCATTTTCATTGGAGGACATTGTCATGTTTATTTCAAACCAACAATCAACGAGAATATTCATATAAATTAACAAAATTACTGTATAAATACGAATTGTTGGTTAGGTTCCAAATTGTTTCTCTTCTTAAATAAATTTAGGCGTTAACATTATTAGGCATTTACATAAAAGTGTGTATTTTGGGTGGTATTCCACAAAATTTGCAGGCTATTGCGGAAACAGAAAATGTTTAGACATAACCAACATGAGATACAGGCCAGAGACATCGATTTGTGACGTCACCGCAATAGTCGGGCTTTTGAATTGTGCCATATGGTACTGCATATAATATAGTTTTTGCATAAATAATAGTATTTATTGATAGTTTTGCCAGATATAAATATGAAAAATATTACACACAAAGGTATTAAAAAATAACATTAACTTTTTATCGCGTTACAGTAATTGAATAGCATTAAAATTTAGATCTAAAAAACGAATATTAATATGTATTATTATATAATATATATTAATACAACAGCATAAGATGAACAGAATAAAATCCAGATAATAGAAAGCATGTCCTAAAATTGCGTTAGCGAGTATTTAGCAGCTAGTAATAATATACCTTGTGATAAAGTTTCCAAATATTAAAAAATTTGAATACTATACTTTATCGACAAGTTAAGAAAATGTATTGTATATGATAAGGGCAGAATATATTTTAAAGTTTAATTAAAAACAATTGTAAAAATTTGCCTAACATATTTAAAAAATGTGGATATCAGGTAGAATTAACTATTATCATTAAGTAATTTGTAGTTCGATGTTCAAGTAACCATTTCCATAAATCGTAAATAAAAAGATAAAGATATTTTTTTTATATAAAATACTGAAATAAAGTACAATTCATTTAATTTCTTTAAAATATATTGCCATTTCATAATAATAATAATAATTTTCAATATTTATTTCATCCTAAATTTCCAAATCTTGTTTTCTTTCATCGGGATGTTTTCTCTTTATGGGAACATGCACAGTCATATAAGAGGGTTGATTTGGAAAAATTGTAGGCACAGCATCTTCTGTAGGTTTTGGACGTGACTTAGTTACAGTTAATATTGTTGGGAAAGAGAATGTAGACAGATCCTGAGTACTTATTATAATTGCTGCTACAAGGCACACGCACAGAACAATGTCGCGGCATTTTTTATTTCACAAAGTAAAAATAAAGAAACGACAACTGTTCTACCTAAAAATACACTCACTTACGTTGGTTTAACACTAAACACTAACGCTATTAATTATGTTTTTATATAAATTCCCCAACTTTTCCTTAGCCAGGACACACAGCCGGCATCGCCGGTGTTACTATAATTTTTACCGAAAGTATGGTTTTTTTCGCGGGTACGATATTGTTACGTTTTTCGTCGGTTCAATATTAACAATATTATGAATCGGATCTAGATAGTCCACTATTCACTCAAAATTATTTAGTATAATTTTATTAGCATAGAAACGCGTAAAAAACACAGATTTGTTGCGAAACTAATGAAAACAATTGGTTTGTTTACGACTACTAATTCTCGACCACTTCGGTAGAACTGTCAAAACAGTCAGGCCTTGAATATGACGTTAGCCACGGTTTAGATTACAGAAATAAATTGAAAATAATATTTATATTAAACCAGCATTATATGTCACTTTTTCAAAAATGTCCTTCAAATTCCCCAATTTAATAGCTGTTAGTAAGAAGTTTCATTTCAAATGCACGCACATACTGAACACACTTTTTTTTAAACAGCATATTTAAAACATACCAACCCTGCAGCCAAATAATTTTTTTCTGATTTACATCATCAGCAGATGATTATAAACTGAGTTTATAAACACCAAAGGTTCCAACCCTCAACTGTAATAATAATAATAATATTTACTAACGTTAAATTATTGAATAAAAAATAATAAAATAGTTTAGTGAAATTTTGGCACGTTACATTGTTTAGAATTTCATAACATAAACCTATTATTTTTGTTTGCAATTTGCAATAATAATAATAATTATTCTTGAAATGGGAAATCAGAATCCAGTAATTGTTGGTAAGTGTTGTTTCAACTGTATATGTACTCACTAACTCACTTATCTATTCTCTCTTTTATGATCCTGTTATGCGTAGTTTCCTGTTATTTCATTGCATTGGTAGAATCTTTGAACATTATTTTATAAATAAAAAATTAATTAACATTAATTGATTTACTCCACACAAACTCATAAGCAAAAATATAACGCACACGTATTCGAATTCGTAAAAAATAACCAACACAGAAGCATCAGCCGGACGCCGGCGCCGGACCAGAATCAGCTGTTAAAAATCGACAATCCCTGCCAATATACTTTAATGCGCAAGTCAACCCGAACAGTTCTCAATTTGAATTATGTACCGAAATTACCGTTCTGAAATCGCAACTAAACGATCTCAAGTTAGGTTGGTACGCAAATAGGATCGTCCGATAACCGTCAAATGTCGGTTGGAACACATTTGAATTACTGCGCACGAGCGTGATCGTTCGGTGACGGTTCTGCAGCGGGTTGGAATAAATCTATAGCAAAAGACTAATTCATTCTCTATATTTTAGCTACTTAGATCAAATTCAGAACATCTGGTATGGCGACGACAATACAGAAAAACCTGATGACGAGCACACATTTAACTATGAGCTTGAACTACAAGCATTGCACGAAATGGTACAACAAACTGTCAGTGCCTTGCTTGCCGACATGAACAATATCGTCAAGCAAGCGTTAATAAACAGTGGAATCCATAAATTGTGTGTATTTTTCGGAAAGGCCAAAGGTAAAATACTTAATTTTTGTAGTAGTTCATTTGTACCATCCCCATTTTTTACAGCTAACGACGTTATTTTGTCACATATGATAACATTTCTAAATGACAAAGAGGTCCAGTTGAGAAAGTCGTTCTTTGACAACATTGTAGGGGTCGCTTCGTATATTGGATGGCATTGTTCAGACATTTTAAAACCTTTATTGCTTCAGGTATAGTATTTTCAATCAATGACTAAAGAATACAAGGACCAATAACACTCTAGACCAAATTGCTACCAGTTGACACCAATATTATGTGGCCAGTACTCGTGTTTGGCACTAAAAAAATGGCGTCTTATAATTTAACGTTACAGATTTTGCTCCAGATTGTATATGCGCGTTACACGTCCTTTTATTCTTTAGTCATTGATTTTCGCTATACAGGGTGGTCCGAACTGTGTTCCGGAAACATCGGCAGCATATTCTGTAGGTAAAAATAAGTAAATAAGTTTGTACAAATGTATTTCCTAAAATGCTTAGTTTCGGAGATACAGGGTGTAGAAGTTTCATTTTTATTTCCATTTTTTTCAAATAATTTCTAAAATAACGTCAATATTTAAATAAAAATTGGTGTCTGGAAGTTTTTTGACATGAGAAATTTGATTTTGATGTCAATATGACTCCTATTTGTAGAGGGCGCAACCTACATGTGTTTTAACTGTTTTGAAAAGTAATAACTTTTCGTCCGTACCTGTATAAAACTATTGAGTAAAAAATATATATTTTCGTGATTTTTTACTTAAAAAATGTCTCTTGGTAAAAATCGCTACGAGCAACCGTTCTCAAGTTATTTAGAATGGAAATAGTCAATATATGTCATTATTGACGAAAAATGAACATGTTGAGCAGATAGTTATTTGACTGAAATGATAAATTTGGGATCTTTTTATTTATTTTTTTTAATTAATCAAAAAATAATTAAAATGATGATAAAACAGTTTCTGTTGAACTTTTGGCACAAAAATATTTTAAATTTATGATTTCAGTCTAATAACTATTTAGTCAACATGTTTAATTTATGTCAATGATTACAGATATTGATAATTTCGGTTCCAAATATCTCCAGAACCGTTACTCGTAGCGATTTTTACCTTTTTTACGTAAAAAATCTCGTAAATGTATATTTTTTACCCGATAGTTTTATACAGGTACGTACGAAAAGTTATTACTCTTCAAACCAGTTAAAAATATGTAGGTGGCGCCCTCTACAAGTAGGAGTCATATTGACATCTATATCAAATTTCTCATGTCAGAAAACTTCCAGACAACAATTTTCATCCAAATATTGACGTACTTCAGAAATTATTTGGAAAAAATCTAAATAAAAATGAAACTTCTACACCCTGTATCTCCGAAACTAAACATTTTAGGACATACATTTATAGAAACTTTTTTACTTATTTTTATCTGCAGAATATGTTGCCGAAGTTTCCGGAACTCAGTTCGGACCACCCTGTATAATATTACTTAATAAAACATATTTTTTCTGTACAGGGTTTAACAGATAATTCCGAGTTTGTCACAAGAAAAGCAATAATAGCCATGACATCTTTGACTGAATATAACCTAGTCAGCAAACAATCTCTATGCGAACTGGTTGCTGAGTGTTCTCATTTCCTGGTTCATCCAAATTTATGGATTAGAGAAGCAGTGTGTGGATTTATAGCAAAAGCATCCGAAAAACTGTCGGTTTTAGATGTTCAATGTAAGGTGATGCCTTATTTGGCGGGCTACATGAAGTATAGTCTCATACAAATTGAAAAGTATGAAAAATTATGCATTAAAAGAAATAGAAATTATGAAGTTATATTTTTTAGGCCTGAACTTTTGTTAGAATCGCTTGTACCGCCTATCCCAAGAAGTGTGTTTGATAATGTAGTTAACTATCCCGATATATCGCAGTTAACTGAGATACTAAGTGAAAGAAAACGTATAAGGGATGCTTTGAAAGCAGGGAAAATACCTAACTATGAATACTACAGAGACTTAAGTTCTAGTCTGAAAAACGTAAGTTATCATTTATTATAAACTTACGTGCATAGAAATCGGCCCACTGTGAACTTTTGGTTTTAACTGTGTCTTTTAGAATCTATTTATCAGAGCAAGTAAAAAATATGAGCTGTTTCAAAGACAATTTAACATGCTTTAATATGAGTATAAATTTATCCAGAGTACTTATCGTTTATATGCGTAGCAATAGGTAAACAAATGAAAGGTGTTGTGCTGACAATAAGAATAACAAACTTGTCAAATATTGCAATTACTACCTTTGTAATCGAAATTTTCACATTGTTTTTTTATTCTTTGATTAGTTGTGTTTCATTGTTTGATTAGTGTTTCAATTTAATGCACACATCACTCAAAAAAGCCGCCCAAGAAATCGCTTTTATCGAAAATGGACTTAAACAGAGAGCTGTAGCTCGGCAACTACAAATGACACGCGGAACGGTTCGAAGAATGTGTGAACGATATGAGGATACTCGATCCTTTCGTAGGCGACCTGGAACTGGTAGAAAGAGAAATACAACGGATCGTGATGACCGCTTTATTGTGTTAACAATGTTAAGAAATCGGCGTCTTAATGCTATTCAGGTGCAACAACAGCTCCGTGAAACACTAGGAGTGACTATTAGTCAGTGGGTAGTAAGACGAAGTTTGAAGGAAAGTAAAACCCCCAAAACACCCGTAATTGGTCCAAAACTTACCCCAACTCATCGTCAAGCACGCCTGCGTTTTGCACGGGAACATCTGAATTGAACACTAGAACAATGGGAATCTGTTTTATTCTCAGATGAGACCCGGATATGCCTCTATGGTAGCGACCAAAGAAGAAAAGTGTACCGGCGGCCAGGTGGGCGATTCGCAGAATGCTGCATTGAGGAGCGGATTACTTATGGAGGTGGTTCCTGCATGATCTGGGGTGCAATTTCTATGACTGCGCGAACCGACCCAGTTTTCATCTGTTGGGGCGACCGTCGGCACGGAAGAGGAAGTTTAACTGGTGCTAGGTATATTGAGGAGATTTTAGCAGTTCATGTAGTACCTTACGTCGACTACATTGGAAACGCGTTCACTTTTATGCATGACAATGCGAGGGCACACACATTAAGAATCGTACACGATTGCATTTCAGAAGTCGGATTTCGGGTTATGGAATGGCCAGCATGCAGTCCAGACTTAAACCTGATAGAACATTTATTGGATGAGCTAAAACGAAGAATTCGTGCTAGACGAAGAGCCCCCAACTTCTATCCCAGAGCTCATTGTTGCAGTAGAGGAAGAGTGGTTTAACATCCCGCAAGAAACAATATCAAATTTGATCGAATCTACGCCAAATCGTATGAGAGATGTTGTTAGAGCAAGGGGGGGTCATACCCATTATTGAAATTTTAATTTAGTTAATTGTCCATAAATAAATAAATAAATAATAACATACCTTATAGTAATAAAAAACGTTAATTTGTTTCGTACATTAATTTAATAATTTTAATCCAAAGAAACCAAAATACAAATTAATATCTCTAAACTCTTTTCAAAGAATATGAAATTGTCTTTCAAACAGCATATATTTTTTCTTAATCTGACAAATAGATTCTAAAAAATATATAGTTAACTTCAAAAGTTTGCCTTGGGCCGATTTCTATGCACGCAAGTGTATTGTATGACTGATTGGTCAAATTACCTGGAAAAAACACAAAGAACAATAAAATAACTATTTAAAATATCTAAATACAACTATTCAAGAACACTTTAGTTTTTCTTCAAAAGATACGTCTATAAAAACCGTTGACATTCTGTTAAAATGACGTTATATCAAGTTGAACTTCAAAATTAACAATTACTTAGGGTGTATTCCGTTGCTTACCTTGGTTATAGTTTTATTCTCCGTTCCTATCGGTTTTCTGAAAGTTTTTTTAATAAGGAACGCGGTTCCTGAAAAATTCGGTTGTAACTGTCACCAAACTAACCAACGCGAGAAGACTGGTTTTTCTGGTTTTGTTTGTCACTCAATGCCATTTATGTGACAGAAATCAAGCAAATATTGGAAGTTCGAGTGAAATTCTCATTTAATTTCTAAAATTTGTAATAATATTTTGTATTTACATCCAAAAGTAATGGAGGTAGGCAGTAAAGGTAAATAAATTTCATTACCTAAATAGAATGACTTTTTAGGACCATTTAAACATATCATGAAGCCATTGTTTCTTAAAGACAGGAACATTTTAAAGAAAACATGAAAAACAAGACAACAAGTAATCGTGAATGTTTTGTAAGCTATAAAAATATAAATATTGATTAGATTTGTTTATTTATTATTAAACTGTTTTAATATTGGACCTGCAAATCTTCACTTGAGCTGTTTAACGAGTTTAACAGTTTATTAATAAAGTACTTTTCAATATTAAAGTCCATTGAAAAGAAGAAGCAAACGTAAAAGCGGAGAATAGGTACATTAAAAATGCATAAAAGATAAATTTTATAAGAGAGGTATTGAAATTTAAAAAACGTCAACATTTGACGTTTCCAGTATTTTACGAAATCGTCCCGTATCAAACCGATGTTTTTCAGGAACCGCTCTTTACCGTAGTTTACCGGTATGGTTCGCCTGGTTTTGCAACGGAATACAGCCTTAATGAGGTAAAACCAAAACGCCTCAAACTTTCATTTTTTTTCTAATTTTAATTCGTTTTTTTTTATCATATTTTGTTGCATAAATCTTTATTATTCTTTCTGTTCTTATTGTTTCTGTTTTTCTAGTTATTTAGAAGACTTGAAGCGAATGGCATGACGGAAAGCATCGAAGAATATTTATTAAATATGGCGCCAGAATTAAAGAAAATCCATATGCAAAAAATTAATTCTGATGCAAGTGCCAAAGTGTTTGATGGAAGAAATGAGCTCAGTATCCTGAATACCGGCATTAGAAACAGGGTGTTTCATTTTAATAATCCCCATAAGAGTGAATATTTAAGGTTAGTATATAGAAAAAAAAATATATTATAGATTTTAACATATATTATCATAAGGTACCATACGATCGAAAAAAAAACGGCGTCAAAGATGGCTTGGGAATGAAAATCACATTTTATATATAAAATTAGATCATTGTTTCAAAGCCAACTGGACGCTGTTTTTTTTCGGTCATGCGGTATTTATACTTCAAATTAATAGCGATAACAGGTGATAAACAAACCATGAGGAGTTCAAAAATATTTTAGGATAACGAATATGTATGGTATGCTGTATCCTATGTTATAGGGCTTGTTTCTCTCTACAATTTCCTGTCTCACAATGTACCTTTTGTGACGGGGAAGGGATCATAGTTTCATAGTTGTCGATTTTCGAAAGAAATCAGTAAATGTATATTATTTCGTATATTTTTCATTTTATGGAAAGCACTGTTCATTAAAATGTTGTATCCTATATTATAGGACTTGTTTCTCTCTACAATTTCCTGTCTCACAATGTACCGTTTGTGTCCGGGAAGGGATCATAGTTTCATAGTTGTCGATTTTCGAAAGAAATCAGTACATCTATATTATTTCGTATATTTTTCATTTTATTCATTTTATCGAAAGCACTGTTCATTAAAATGTTGTATCCTATGTTATAGGGCTTGTTTCTCTCTACAATTTCCTGTCTCACAATGTACCGTTTGTGACGGGGAAGGGATCATAGTTTCATAGTTGTCGATTTTCGAAAGAAATCAGTACATCTATATTATTTCGTATATTTTTCATTTTATTCATTTTATGGAAAGCACTGTTCATTAAAATGTTGTATCCTATGTTATAGGGCTTGTTTCTCTCTACAATTTCTGTCTCACAATGTACCGTTTGTGACGGGGAAGGGATCATAGTTTCATAGTTGTCGATTTTCGAAAGAAATCAGTACATCTATATTATTTCGTATATTTTTCATTTTATTCATTTTATGGAAACCACTGTTCAATAAAATGTTGTATCCTATGTTATCGGGCTTGTTTCTTTCTACAATTTCCTGTCACACAATGTACCGTTTGTGACGGGGAAGGGATCATAGTTTCATAGTTGTCGATTTTCGACAGAAATCAGAACATGTATATTATTTCGTATATTTTTCATTTTATTGATTTTATGGAAAGCACTGTTCATTAAAATGTTGTATCCTGTGTTATAGGGCTTGTTTCTCTCTACAATTTCCTGTCTCACAATGTACCTTTGTGTCCGGGAAGGGATCATAGTTTCACAGTTGTCGATTTTCGAAAGAAATCAGTACATGTATATTATTTCGTATATTTTTCATTCTATTGATTTTATGGAAAGCACTGTTCATTAAAATGTTGTATCCTGTGTTATAGGGCTTGTTTCTCTCTACAATTTCCTGTCTCACAATGTACCTTTGTGTCCGGGAAGGGATCATAGTTTCATAGTTGTCGATTTTCGACAGAAATCAGAACATGTATATTATTTCGTATATTTTTCATTTTATTGATTTTATGGAAAGCACTGTTCATTAAAATGTTGTATCCTGTGTTATAGGGCTTGTTTCTCTCTACAATTTCCTGTCTCACAATGTACCTTTGTGTCCGGGAAGGGATCATAGTTTCATAGTTGTCGATTTTCGAAAGAAATCAGTACATGTATATTATTTCGTATATTTTTCATTCTATTGATTTTATGGAAAGCACTGTTCATTAAAATGTTGTATCCTGTGTTATAGGGCTTGTTTCTTTCTACAATTTCCTGTCTCACAATGTACCGTTTGTGACGGGGAAGGGATCATAGTTTCAGAGTTGTCGATTTTCGACAGAAATCAGTACATGTATATTGTTTCGTATATTTTTCATTTTATTGATTTTCTGGAAGGCACTGTTCATTAAAATGTTGTATCCTAGTTTTAATACTGAATCATTGTCTACCACATTCAAAGAAACCAATGTTATTTAAAGTTGAGGGCATATTTACTTATTTCTCTGATCTTTCTTAATACATTTTTCCGTATTTTATCAGAGGCCTGCATAGAACCAACACTCTAGGATCCATCGACACCAACGTGAATTCCGATTGGAACTACAGTGCCGAAGTATTGAACAGACAGTCAGAATCAACCAATAGCGGAGCTCCATCGTCACACTCAACCAATAGCAGGCCTACATCCCCTCCGCCTGATCTTCACGTCACGCAGTTCATCAGCACTACCACTGACGCTTCCAGCTTACATGAGAAGAGTTACATTCAATGTTAGTGTTCGTTAAATATATTTATATTTTGTTTTTTAATGCATTTTGTGTTTATAGATCGACAGTCAACGTGTTATGTTGAGTTGAACAAACTGAAGAATATACAGCAAGATCATTATTACGAAGCTCTGAGGTAAGGTTATAGCAGTTAAGTTGGTAGTTCAAATGAACCAAACAATTTGGCTGGTTATATTTACATACGAACCATATCAGCAAAATTAGTGCGACCGCGATGGTACTTTAATATGGCTGACTGAAAGTACCATTGATGATTCCTTTTTAATCTATATCTATACTAATATATAAAATCCTTAAGTGACTGACTCACTGATTAATCACGATCCTGCTCAACCCACTCAACGTAAGAAGCTCAATTTTGGCATACAGGTTGATTCTAGGGTGTAGAGGTTCTATAAGAAGGGATTTTTCGAAATTCCAGTTCCAAGGGGGTGAAACCACCCCTCAAATATTACAATATTTTTTATTTAAAAAACGGTCAAGTTTCCGAAAAAACGCTTAAACACGTATATTTTATTTTGTTTTTTACATATTTTAAGATTTTTTAAAAATTTATACAGGGTGTTTCATAAAATATGACCATTGAGTAATCACGATTCTGCTTAAACTGCTTGACGTTTAAAGCTGGTTTTTGGCAAACGGATTGACTGTGGGGTGTAGAGGTTCGATAAGGAGGGGTTTCTCGAATCTCAAATTCCAAGAGGGTGAAAACGCCCCCCAAATATTACAATATTTGTTATTTAAAAACGGTTAATCTTTCGGGAAAACGTTTGAACACGCATAATTTATCTCGTTTTTTTTACATATTTTGAAATTTTTTAAAAAGTTGTACAGAGTGTTCCAAAAAGTTGGGTAATTGATTAACCACGATTCTGTGGTTCTTAAACTGCTTGGCGTAAAAGCTTATTTTTGGCAAACGGATTTTTCGAAAGTCAAATTCCAACGAGATGAAACTACCCCTCAAATATTACCAAGTTATATAATAATATCGCCATATTGTTTTTTCTCATGCTGACATAAATGTGAGAAAATTTTATCCAGTTTGTATGTTAGTGGAAATTCTTGCTTTGCTTTATCATCACCATTACAAATTATTAATTCGACGCGAACGAAGTCGCGGGTACACGCTAGTATATGTATATAACGCTGCAACTTTGACTTTATTTGAAAAATAGAAAATCGTCGCGATCTACAGCTCTGTATATTAGCTAAGTGTAATATGAACTAATATATTTTTAGAAGCAAAGAATGGGCCGAACAGGCAGCTTGGAAACCTCAACTACCACCCCCTGGATGGCATCCTAGGGGTGTCCTAGTCGCTCATTTACACGAACACAAAGAAGCTGTTAATAAGTTATGCAAATTTCCAGATTCTCCATTTTTTGCCAGTTGTTCTAGTGATGGCACTGTCAGGTATATAATATATTCTATTGTTTTTTGTTAATAAAATATTAAATTCATTTAATGTTTATAGATTGTGGGATTGTTCAAAGTTTGAAGGCAAAAACATAGCAAACAGGTCAAAACAGCAGTTTAGATTACCGAATAGTTCCTGCGTCACGAGTATAGCTGTGTGCGATGGAGGTCAGTCTTTGACAACTAGCTGTCAAAGTGGCTGGATTGGAGTTCTCAGAGTTGATCCCGCTAGTACCAAGTATGATTTGTAATATTTTTTTTACTCTGGATGTTCCTTTTTGCTCTTGTTATTTTGTCTATCCTGTATATTCTCTTTTATACCATATATTTAGCATCAGTAAGAAATGTTTCTTAAGTTTAACGTTGAGTTAACGCCTCCTTTATGCTGCATAGGCTGGATCAGGCCTACTCTGTTTAGAGGTAATCTGAACCGCGCACCTCGGCCTTATCATTGTCAATGGCCTACCGATTTGACGATATTTTTTAAAAAAACTTCGTTTATTATGCATGAACGTAATTACAATACAAGAGTTCACACTACACGAATATCTTAAACCAAAAGAGATACAGTGATGATTCAATCAGAGAAAATTTGCGCCTTGTTGAACTCATAACACTAACAACTTCATGTTTCGAAATCTAAAATATCCAATTGGTCTTTTACCTTTGAATTTAAATGACAGACAATAACTGCACAGATTATACAAATTATAAACTTTGTTTTTTCTTTATTGTTTTTCGTGGTTCCAATTTTCGGAATCGGGCACTAGTTAGGTTACTAGTTTGCGCATGTAGCTCGCCCACTTATGGCCTCTAAAATTGTGCACCGGCACAGTTATTAGAGAAATATCGGAAAACCGAATAGCGTCATACAGTATTTACGCGTACCTTATCATGGTTAGGATATGCGCGAGTCAATTTTTAACGCAACACCCGCTAATAACGTTACCGCCTGACGTAATTTGCGGATCAATTACACTAAGCGCTATTTCTAAATAACGTATAAAAATTGCTTAAATGGGCATGTGCGGGTATTTGACAACCGGTGCCGGCCGGTGAGATCTTTTATTTTAGGTTATGTTTGAATTGTTTTGAATTATTACTTTAGTTTTTTAGTAATTTGATATTTAAGTAGCCGGGATTAAAGCCAAAATATGGATTCCACCTCTTCCAATATTAAAGAACCTATAAAGAGGCTTAGGTTTACAGCAGATGACTTAGCCCTTCTAAGAGAATTTGTTACTTGTTGCCCTAAACCTACTGGTAGACGTTGAACAATAAAGCACTTTAGCCCTTTAGTTTTAAAATACCTAGTAAACAAAGCAATTTCAAAGTTTTAAATTCAAAGTTAGGTTAAGTTTAAATAGCGGACGCGACACGAACAGAATTCTTTCCGATCCGGTAACTATAAATGAAGAGAGTTAATACTACCTCACGTAAAGGAAATAACACCTGGCCTTATTAACGTCCATGCGCGCTATTCGGTTTAGCGATATCTCTCTATTACGCTGTTTATTGTTATTTTACGGGAGTTTATTTTTGCGCACAGGAAATTTTACTCGTTTGCACATCGTCATAAAAAACAATTTGCGTACCACGAATTAGGAATAAGATTTTTATCTGTATACATATAGTATACCTAATCTGTGATAACTGTTACTGTTAGAATTCTAACATTGAGTTAAACAAGCTATAGAGTCAAAGATAAATTTCTTTAAATCAACGTATGACACTAGTTCCGCCTGAAGTTAAAATCTCAAAAATTCTCTCTTTCCTTACAGAATGAATCTGGTTCAATCCAGACAGTTAGATTCCTATGAAGAAGGTTTTGCTGTTGAAATGCAGTGCTTGGATCAAGGCAATCACAGTGTTGTAGTGTACGCAACGCTTTATGGAGATTTAGGTAAAAAACAAACTTCTAGTATATCTTGTTAGTGGATACAGTATGTAATTATTAATATTACACTGACTCCTAATGATTTCCTCTTATTATTTGTTTGTGAAACGAGTGAAACAGCAGTTTCTGATAGGATTTTACTAGGACTAGGTATATTTATGATTGCATCTTCAATATGGTCACACGAATGGTTCTTATAATATTATTTGGAAACTTATAAATATTTTTTCAGTGGCTTGGGATCTTAGGCAACCAGGGGTAGCTTGGCGTCTGGAGAACGGTCTCAGACAAGGTGTTATAACGACGTTTTGTATTGACGCTCATCAGAGTTGGCTGGCGCTGGGTACTAGCGATGGGGTGCACACTGCTTGGGATCTGAGGTTCAGATTACCTATCACAACTATAAACCTACCTGCCAGTAAGTGTGAAGTTAATTAATAAATATAAAAGTAATATTTATACTTATGAAGTGTTTTTTTTTATTAAAATGACACAAAAAATTAAATATGGATTATTCTTTTAAGGTGGGCAAGGTGCTAGAATAAGAAAAGTAATCCCGCATCCGACTGAGCATTCGTGGTTGATGTCTAGCGTTCAAGGTAACAACGAAATATCGATGTGGAACCTTGAAACCGGCTCAAGGCAGAAAGTTCTATGGGGTAGTACCACTCCTCCATTATCAAAATTACAGCACGTATGTATTATCCGTATTTTTGTAAGGGTTTGGTACAACATTTTTTTGTAATGCTGTCACTAAATGAAGCATTTAAAAACGAAAGTAGCTGTTTTAAATTATGCCTAGTCCCATACAATCGAAAAGAAAACGACGTCACGGTGGCCTATGAAATAACAATCATGATAATTCCTGTCGGTCATTTGTTATAAGTTAACATAAAAATTTGTCAAAATTATCTATTATCTTCAAGTGAAGAAAATAAAGAATGACCATACAATACCAATCATTCACATGTAAAAACTAATTTTTGAATGTAGCTTTTTGTCTAGAATTTTCTTACTATTTTCTATAATTATTTTTTACTATTTTTTATGTAAATTTTTAATAAATAATGGTATACCGGGTGCGTCTCAAAAGTGGCACACCCCTATAACTTTTTTATTTTTTCAGATAAAAAAACGATATTTCGTATGTTAGTATATGACATAAATTAGGATTCATTGGTGTCTTCAATTGTTTTTGTTCACTTCCTGTTTCACCGGAAACGACTACAACTTTTGATTTTTAAATGGCACCCTCGGTATTTTTTTACTTTATTCGATATAAAATGACATTCTGAATAGAATAACATATCATATGTCAACATTTGACATTCTCGCTTAATAAAAAATTGTTTTTTAAAATTCAATCTAGAGTGCCATGTGTATGTTAAAAACACCAACAACTAATTGTTAATCAAGGAGCCTTGGAAAAATAGATTTGATCGTCTAATGTATTTAGTGTCTTGTCCTGGCCAGTTAGAAAATGATCAAATCCTATTTTTAATATTATCTCAATTTTTTCAAATGGAACGAGGGTGGCTCATTAGGATATTTGGAAAAAGCATTTTTTTACGAATAATTTTATACCACACACTTGGTATTTCAATTCAAATTTTCGTTACGAACCGCAAGTTATAATTTCAAATAAACTATATGCGAAAATGTCAAAAGTTGACATATGATATGTCACTCTATTCAGATTCAGTTCATTCCATTAGTTTTTGGGGGTTGTGGGGGGTTGGTAAGGGGTATGGGAGGGGCTTTGAATAAGAAGACTAAGGAAGGAACATAATGCTATCCATGTATTCATGCATGGTGGGCGGAAAAAGCACCATAAAAGCACTCTAGGATGGGGATCCTTGACTGTTCTGTTTGACGATTCATTTGACACATTTGAATTTGATTTGAAATTTTGTGGATTTGTCAGTCTTTACAGAGCTTTTTTATGTTATTTATTATTTATTCTACTACTGGTAGTTGTATAAAGGTAGTAAATCTAGATGGAAATTGTGGCAGAACTTAAATTAACAGTGACACTATCGCGATTTATCGAAAAAGACTCTAAAATAGTTGGTTGTGTAGCGTGCGGTAGATCTCGGCAAAAATTGAGTGAAATAATGGAACAACTTTTCGCTAGTAAGTGACTATATAATATACATACGTGTAGTAAACCGATCATTTATGAAATTCACTTAAATTAACTAAATTATATATTTTTCTTGCATTTTAACTTTTATTTATTACTTATCAAAGATTAGATGTCAAAGAATTTAGATACGTTAATTTGACTTACCTGCTTCAGTAGCGTATCGGATGTTTGTGTTAATAAATACTTATTATAACTTATCTATTTTTATTAGAATTATAGATTTTTATAACAATTTTAATAACTACCAACATTTATTCACAACGTAAAATAAAACAACAAATTATTGAGTCTACCCCACGTCTACCCTACATCATAGTTTTACATTTTTTAAATAAAATTAGAACGACACTGATAAACCGGAATTTAAGTCGGCCATATTTGAGGCCCATCGCGGTGTACCTAAGATTTTTGATATGCTCCTTCCTTAGTCTTCTTATTCAAAGGGGAGGGGGTTAAAAATTTTAAAAAATCGTAACTCCAAAATTACAATAGCTAGCGAAACGCGGTTTTCAATTTAAGATTAGAAATAATATTTGCAACAAAATTTGTAATAACATCAAAATCAGTCAAAGTCGCAGTTTTTGAGATAAAAAAAAATTGGAATAATTCCTTTACTTTGAAACTAAAAGAACTGCCTACCAACTTTTTATTGACATATTTTAGTATGGGCGGCTATACGTGTCTTCCGGCGCCATTTTTTTCCAACCAATATTTGTTAAAAAATAAAAAATTGTCAATTTTTTTTTAATACCTTTAGAATATTGCTGAAATATGTAGCATTCTTTTAAGTTGCTTATATTTGTATGCAGTTACAATAGACTGATGCATTTGTTAAGATTAATCAATTCATATTCAGGCTTGTACTGCATTATTCAAAACCTGAATGTATCTTGTAAATTCTTTGTTTATAATAGGAAAGGTCAGGTATTGTGACTATTTTCTTAATTATAAATTTGGATGCAGATGCATATGAATTACAAAGATTAAAATGCCTCTTAAAATGTTATTTATACAAGGTTTTAGTTTATTTGATTAAATAATTAAACATAAAAGAAACCCATTTTTAGTGATCTCCTTTGTAAAAACTAGGTTAATCTACAATTCAAAATATTCACTTATTTATTGTGGAATGAGATATTTGTTCGCCGCAAAACACCAAAATACTACTATACTCTGGACGCGTGCTTTGCTAACTATGTCATGTCTAGTAGTGTTTATTATGTTTTTTAAACTATACCCTTTGTAGAAGTTTTTTAAACTATACCCTTTATTTGAAGAAGATAGATGACACTCAATCTCTCTATGTCAATGTGTCTGAACATAATGCGTAAAATTCTAAAAATCATATTTCTTTTAAAGGGAACCCAACAGACTACTCATAGCGTCTGCGCAATGCTGGGAGGATGTATTGACAGATCACCTTTCCTGCTTTCTGGTGGCACAGATCAAAGATTGAGATTCTGGAATCTAGAGAGTCCAACCGAAAGTTATTTGGCTATTCCCGCAGCCATTGATGCTCCTGGAACTACCTTGACCTACCGTAGCAGGTCAGTATATTATAGTCGTTGCTCTAGCAAAAAAAATAATCGTTTACTAAATTATACACTATTTAGTCACTTTTTTATGTTCCATTTAAACAAAATATCCGGTTTTTGTAGGCTTATTGATGGGACTGATGTGATTTACGAAGAAGCCTCTAACACAAGACCAAAAGACAAAACCGAAGAGGTTCCAAGAGCCGGACCTGAACCCCCTTCAGCGGGCCACAGAGACTGTATTTCAGACATAACTATGTGCAAAGCCAGTCAGTGCTTTGTCATTACGTCGTCACGGGATGGGGTCATAAAAGTTTGGAAATAAGAATAACAACGAAAAAGTAAATATTTTGCCAGTAGTTTAAATGTACCGCTAGACATGATGCGTTTGATCAAGTTTTTTGAGCATGTATAATAGCTTAAAATGTAAGGCGTTTTATTATTACAATATTAAAAGAGTTACGTCTACAGTGTGCTCAAGAAGTTTGGACACAAATATGAAAACATATTTAAACATCTTGAAATTTTTGATAAATCTCTGCATCTTAGCCAAATCTGTTCCAAAATAAAAGTTACTGTTAAAAAGTTACTTCAAAAAAAAAGATGTTCAGGTTAAAAGGTAGATATATTTAAAACCAGCTACTATAAAAAATATTTTTATTTACAACCACATACAAGTATGAATGTTGACATTACTGACTTAAAAATTTTGAAAGTGTCATTATCTACTGCTCTACTCTTCCATTTACCTCACTCGTCTTCTACTCAATTGTCTTTTTTCTGCTTTTTTGCAGCTTTAAAGTTTTGATGTTGTACCAGTGTTAAAATAATCTTCGTTATCATCTCTTTCTAATAACATTTTAGCTAGTTCTTTATATATTACTGGTTTTGAAGGTCAATACGTAAAAAATACTTGCTAACTTTGAAATAAGTACCGTAAGATCGAAAAAACAGCGTCAAATTGGCTTGGAAAGATAGATATAATTTTACATATAGAATGACAATGATATTCATTTCTAAGCCAACTCTGACGTCTTTTTTTTCGATATGAGTATTTATCAACCATTTCGGCATTAAAATATAAAATGCAATAATAATTCCGGAATTAAATATATCTAAGAGAACATACCTTTTTTTTTATGGATGTAAGAATAAAATCGAAAATAGATATTTTTTTAAAGTAGTTCAAATGTATCATTGGACGCGGGCGTTTATTGAACAGATATAATAATAATTTGAAGTATTTAATCATATTATATAAGTATATTTAGGATATAATTAGCGTTTTTCAAAATATACAAATTTATTTTTTAGTTTTAATTCATTTTCATTTCATTTAATCAGTTTTATTGATTAAACCTAGGCATGTATTTTTTTATTCAATATTTTTATTTTTTATATTCCTCTACCATATAAATAAATTAAGCATGAAATTATTCTAGACATACTTTGTATAGTTAGGAGAACAAACTTTTATAAATGATATTGTAAATAGTTATTGTGATATTATTATTAGGTAATAAAATGACTGAAGCCTTCAAGTTATTTATTTATTTTATTATAATTATTATTTATTAAGAGAAGATTTAGTTATTATTTTCCTTTTTTTACTTATTAATCATTTGTTATATGCTTCAACTGATTTATCAATATAAACTTGACATAAAAAATAAACTTGATAAAGATATTTAAAAAATATTACAAAAATTTGGTTTGATTATTGAATCATTGTCTTTACCACATTTATAAAACATACGTATACCGAAGGGATATAAAATATTGAGTAGTTCATTTGTACCATACTGCTTTTCTCTTGTTTAAAACACTTTAAAAACTGTTAGACATATCAAAAAGGTGTCTCTAGTTTACGATTGCTTTACAGTAATAATGACAAAGTAATAAACATACCTTTTATTACACCAGATCGTTAAAACATATTTATAAACCTTTATATTTTCGTATAGTTACAAACAACCTGATCAGAATAATGTTTTTGTAGAAATCCGACAATATCCTACGTTTATTCTTGTTAAATTTACATTTTAAATAAAGAAAAAAGGTACGTTACTACTTAGTAAGTATATTTATCTATAAAAAACTGAAGTAGTTCATTTGTACCGCGAAATTAATCTGTTAATCAAACTCTAAAGCGCTTTAAATTTTTATTATTGCAAAGCTTTTTAGCTCAGGTACTCTAAAATAAAATTAATCATACTAAAATATAATATTTTTTTATTATTGTTATATACACAGGATGAGTCAAAACTATATAAATAATATTTTTCTCTAAAATATTTTAATGGAATACCTTATAACATAATTCAACACTGTTTTTATCTTACTTTATGTTTCAATAATCACTTTCTATGTCCATAACCAATATTTATTCAATAATTATCAATTTTATGAAACCTAAATATGTGATTTGTCTTAGAAATTACAATTGGCGACATTTATATCTAAAATTATGTGGTGAATGTAGTCGCTCGTCATTTCTAAGGTAACTTGACGTCGTTTTTTATATTAAAGTTATTAAAGCAGCCAGAATCGTATCTCTGATACAGAATACTAATTTAAAAGGGACTTAACTTTTTCCTAAACGTTTATATATATATACATGCTACGTTATATTTATAATAAAAACACCAACAAAAGCCCAAGGTAATTAAAATTCGTGTCATGTACACAGTGATAATGACCTTAACATTTCCTTAACCCACGAGAGAATTTTAAAGAGATAAGCAGAAGAAAAATTATCTATTAAACGGAGAAGAAAAAATATTAATGAGCTTGAAATAAACAAAATACCCAAGCAAGTATATGTGATTAATTTTGAGTGACGCAGTATGTTTCGGTTACTTAAGAAAAATAACAAATTTGCTATGGTATAAATAAAATAAGTATAATGACCATTAGTCATTTTGTAGGGAGACCTCTTTGTGAGTGTAGTCCCATATATTTTATATACCTATAAAATACAACAAAAAAACCTTTTTTGAAAAATGAAGGTATCCTTTATGTTGATGTTACTTGTTATTTTCGTTATATGTTTGTCAACTGAAGCAGATCCAAATCCGTTTTTTGATAAACTTTTTAATTTAGGCAGTAGTGATGGATATAGCAACAGCAATGGATACTATCCTTATCCTTCAAGACCTAGGTAGGTATATATTATATAATTTTGAAAAGATTTTTTGTTGTTTAATTAATAGTATTTTTTTAAACCAGAATATAAAATTACAAAAAAAAAACAATTATGGGTATAAGTCACATAAAATTATATAGAAAACCTCTTATACTTTGATAAAATAAAATGGAATTAAAACAAAATACATATATACAGGGTGTTTCAAAACAAGTGCGAAAAACTTTAGGGGGTGATTCCTTGTTCAAAATAAAGGGTAGTTTGCTTTATAAACGTTGGGTCAAAAGTCAACCATTAGGGAGATATCGCGGTACAAAGATGGCGGAGAAATAATGTTTTTATTTTTTATCTTGAAAACGAAAAGAGATAGACTAATGAAATTTTATGGAAGCATTACTGTTATGAAAACACACTTTCAGGTAATTTTTTTACTTTTTTAAAATGAGTGGAATGGGTTGAAATAAACTACCCCTATCATTCTTGTTAACGAAATTTAAAGAAAAATCTTATCAAATACATGCAAATGCTTTAATTTGGATAGTTTAGTTTGTTTAGAAACTTTTTTACCTCTTGTGTTTTTTTGATAAAACTCACCGATTGGAAATTAAAAAATAAAATGTAAAGCATTACATGTCAGGACAAAAAACATTTTTAGATTAAGAATCTAGTGATAATAACGATAATAATAATCATCTAGATAATAACGTATTGCAGTAGAGTAATGTCAAATAAAATAATATTAGGAACATCCTAAAAAGTAACAGCAGCCGACTAGATTTTTTCTAAAAAAATTACAGCAGCCCACTAGATTCTTTATCAGAAAATGTTTTTGTCCTGACATGTAATGCTTTACATTTTATTTTTTAATTTCAAATCGGTGAGTTTTATCAAAAAATACAAGAGATAAAAAACTTTCTAAACAAACTAAACTATCCAAATTAATTTTTTGCATGTATTTGATAAGATTTTTCTTTAAATTTCGTTAACAAGAATGATAGGGGTAGTTTATTTCAACCCCTTCCACTCATTTTAAAAAAGTGAAAAATTACCAGAAAGTGTGTTTTCATAACAGTAATGCTTCCATAAAATTTTATTAGTCTATCTCTTTTCGTTTTCAAGATAAAAAATAAAAACATTATTTTTCCGCCATCTTTGTACCGCAATATCTCCCTAATGGTTGACTTTTGACCCAACGTTTATGAAGCAAACTACCCTTTATTTTGAACAAGGAATCACCCCCTGAAGTTTTTCGCATTTGTTTTGAAACACCCTGTATATAATATACTTTTATGAAAATTGGCCAATATGATTTAATTTTGCTTATTTTAATAGATAAATAAGAATTTTTAGGATTAATATTAGCGTAGATAATTCAATAAAGTGTTTTTAGAATACAGGACAAATGAACTACTAACAAGATTTTTTGCCCGATATAGTCTGGATTTGCATGATATGTCCTGGGAAACATTTCAATGCAAAAGTGGATGTTTTATGTCATTTTTTGGATGTCGAAATCGTATAAATTCTCTCGCTGAATAGAACTATATATTTCTCTAGGCAAATAAATATAATAGATGAAGATATAGTTTTTGAAAACATTTTAAAAAATATCATAGTCCTAACTGCTTATACTTTTTAGTATTTTATTTGTATAGGGTTGCAAACCAAGGAAATGCACTGGAGTATTTAGTACTATTTAGGCAAACAAAGTTCATTTATTTTATTATCTAACACACTGTTAATAAGAAATATTACTGCGTAACTTTAACAACAATCAAGAGCGATTGTTGTGTAGGTACAGTAGTGAATGTTATTTTTAGTAATTTAAATTCCATTATTATGACAGTACCTACTTTCCCTTTTGAACTAAAAGTAATTGATAACAAAAAAAAAATCAAGAAAGTATTGGTGATTATTTTTATCATTTTTGAATTTTTTTTGAATTTTTGAATGTAATATACGAAAATAACGTAAATTCATATTAATACATAATATAGAGGGTTGCTGTTATGTATGGAAAAGGTCGATTATTAGGTAAAATATACAAGGTACCTCAAAAAGTTAAATACAAAAGTTATACGATTTTTAAATATCTATTTTAAGTATACCGGGTCGGTCATAAATTCGTGGCACATAAAAGTTTCATTTTTTAAATAGAATCCCCTGTATATTACTGCATATTTCCATTCTTCCTTCAATTCTACGCAAAAATCGAAATACACACAATGTACCTCAAATCAACCGCCAATAGACATTTAATAACCCTATAATTTTTGTATTTAACTTTTTGCGGTAACTTGTATATTTTACCTAATAATCGACCGTTTCCATACATAAAATCGACCCTGTACATAGTAAGGTAGAGAAGGCAGACAGAGGCAGGGAAGATTTCGACAGACTACGTCCAAAAATGACAAAAGTAGGTACAATTTGCCTGTAAATTAAAACGACAGACACAACTGTCACTGTCAGCTAGGGACAGACTATACCAAACATGTATGCATTTTGACAATAGAATTTTGTGCATTTGGCAGTCGTTAAGCGTAAAAGTTATCTTTAGGACACTTTTCATACACAAACCATGTTCAAGAAAAAAATGGAGAACCACAATATATTTTTTAGAAAATTACTCAGTAAAAAGTGGTACAAAAGAACAAAATATCCCACTGTTTTGTCTTTTGTGTACAAAAGTTAATAAACTAGAAAACTTAGAAACTATATAAACTAGTAGTGTGCTGTTCAAAAGAAATATTTCTCTAAGTGTTCTACCTTACTAATGAAGTACCGCATGATCAAAAAAAAAACGGCGTCAGCGATAGCTGTGAAATGAAGATCGCTGTCATTTTATATGCAAAATTAAATGGGGAATGTCATCGATGTTCATTTCCAAGCCAACTGGACACCGTTTTCGATCATACGGTATATCATCTATATATTATTTTGTAAAATTCTAGGTCGTATGGCAGAAATTATGAACATGCTGAGACTGGAGCAGACAGGTATAGATCAATCTGTAGAGTTCACGCTGTAGATACATTGGCATTCCCTGGCAACGTTGGTAGACCAATTTGCCCTTAATTTTAATATACACATAAGAAAATACTTTTTATTATAAAAAATAGTAAGATATTTATAAAAATGTCTCAACATTGTTATACTAGTCACTAATCTTTGATCCTTTTACTTTTGTATTTTCCAAATAAAACAAATATAAGTTTATTGATTTGTTTTATTTCTCATATTCTTATAAATAGGGAAGAGAGAACTTAACAGGAGAAACTAATCTATTATATACACAGCCAAGTTATAAACAGTTTTACAAAAATACATTATCATAAAAAATAGAGTCCAATGACAATTTGTAATAAACATGCTTTAAATAAATATATGTGTATTTGTTTCCTTATATAAAAAATTAAGTATAACATATTTACTACTTCTTTTCTATAAAAAAAAGTCTGTGTACAAGTAAAACAAGGTAAATTCCAAAAAAAAATAGTTTAGAACTTTTTAAATAAAACCTTATTTATCAAATAAGATTAATACATTTTTGAGGACTATAAATATGACTTAAAAGATGCGTTTTTGGACAATATACACCACGCAGGCAACAAAAAACGAAAAAGCAAAAAACATTAGAACTTTGTCAGTTATTTCGCGCCTTCCGTACTTGTCTAAAAGCTTCCCTGATTGGTTGATCGCGCCTGACGTCATTTTCAGTTCTTCCTGCGTTCCGAAAACCGTATCAGATGACGTCACCAGCGTGTCTAACGTTTGGGCGCTCTGGAAGCAAGTTTGATATAAAATAAATCAAGATTTATTAATGCAGAAAATATATTACTTGTTTAGTTGTTTCAGCTAATTGTCTACTTATGTTTAGCAATTGGTCTGTAACATTTGAGCTCATTTTAACCATCGTTTCATTATCCCTTTTTTGTCTTTGTCTGACTTCTGTCTCTTTATCAGGTTTCAAGAGTTCCTCCTTCATACCTTTTTCTATAGCCAACATAGATTTGAGATTCGCCTTTTTAAAAGCATCCATAGTACTAAAAATTACTTAAATCATAAAAATTCAAACATTACACAAGCAGATTACCTTGCAAGTTGTTCCCTTTGTAAAACAACCTCCTTTAATAATTCTCCATCCCTATGTTCTTTAGCTATGTCTCCGAATTTATCTATTAATTTTCGCAAAGTTGAAATTTTCGACCGTCCGGCACTGTTCAAGCCGTGCAGCTCTGAGAGCGGTCCTGTACATGCGTTAATATCCTGATTTTGAAAAAGAAGATCGTTTTTACAAACGCCGACTAATTAAAAAAGAAGAAATTTCTGACGTGTAGGAAAATTAATCGAGGCTAAATGGTAGCTAACGCCTATAATATTGAAAAGAAGAAGAGACTAGATGACGTGTAGAAAAAATTATGAAAAACGGGTTGTTGAACTATTTCTATTTTTGTGTATTTTTTACCTGAATATTGGCTTTCAACTGCAAGTGGTTTTCCGTAATATCTTGACGTATCGTTTTTAGCACAAACTGAACGGATTCCATGTCGCAACGATTTGTATTTTCGATAGAATCGGTAAAAACTTCGAAACTTTGCTGGAATGTTGTGTACCTAACTTCTACATAATTAATATAGGGGGCGCCACGTAATTTCTTACATTTTTCTGATGACGTGGTGGCGCGGAATTTGATTATGTAAGAATGCCAGCTAATTTTGAAAATATTCAAGGTAAGGTAGGGTTTATTTTGGTGCATAAAAATACCGGTTATTTTAAAAAGTTTTTTATTTTTATAACAAAACAAAATCACAGTGTATAAGAAATTGGTTCATAACTATATTACAATTCGTGTTTAAAATCTAAAGGTCTTCTAGGCCAAGATTCTTTCTTTAATAATTCATGTTTGGCCCTCCACAGCTTAAGAACCTGACAAATAAATTCATAAAACAAACTATCTTACTATCTTTGAATAATTTACCTCAGTTTCAAAGGGTTTTACAAACGTTTCAAGCCATTCACTAACAGTATATTTGTCATAAACCTCCCTTAATGCTCTTGAAATATTATCCTTAACATATTCCAGTTCATCTTTAATTTTATCCAAAGGTAACAGCACAGATTTTACGTAATGTGGGTTAGAAAACAAATATTTTATATTGTATTCATTTAGCCAACCCTTTACCCGTGAATCTTCGATTATTTCTTCATATTCTTGCTTTAGTTGATGCAAATGAATTATGTACTCTAATATATCCCCACCTGTATAACAAACACTTTATGTTAACTAGTGTACAGGGTGTTCCATTTCTTGTTTATGAAAAGTACACTAGGTCACCCTGTATAATTAAAATCGCATTTTTATACCTGGAAATTTACATTTTGGTGTTCCAAAAGCTGAACCTATTAGACCATATGGTTGAGAGCATTGTAATAATTTAGCTACTTCTGTAGGAGGCCCAATCAAGGAATCTTTGTATCCTATTATATAAGTTATAATTAAAAAAAAATGGTTGGCTTATAAAAATTAAATTTATTACCCAGTAACAATCTCAAACTCATTGCTAGAGCGGGTAGTCCTACAGGCAGTAGTTCACAGAGAACTGCAAAGTGATCATATCGTTGCCAACCTATATATTTTTAATTTTTAATACTCAGTTCTCCCAAATTATAGGTAAAAACTACCTGTTAATATAATTCCTTCAAAGTGAATTTTCCTCCCGTACTCTTTGATCACTGCCAACCAACTTTTGTGATTTTGTACATAGTGATTCACGTCAGATATATACTTATTGCTGCCGATAGCGCCTTTAAAGGCACTAGCTGCCCACAGACTAGAAAAAGCTTTGGAGTACATGTTCCACAAACTGGGGCCCAGTTCATCATAAACATCTTTCTGATACTGCCAAACGACTGGCTCGAAATTCACACCCAAACGACTTTTCTGGATGTCTGTGTGGTTTAGGAGTCGAAAGTGATCATCCCAGGCTAGTATTTTCAAGTTTGGGTTCTTTTGTCTTATTGCGTTTATTACAGATGTAATATGGTTCAAATATAGTTTGTTTTTGGTTAAATTATCCGTAAGCATTTTGTCCCTACATCTTTGACAAGTGGCTAGGGAAAAAAATAGAGTGATATAAAGAAATACAAAAAAGTAACATATTTACCTAAATGAAAGACTTCATCAGATCCAATGTGTATAATACCACTTTCTGGATGTGCTTCAATTACTTGGTGTAACATTTCTTTAATAACTTCTAAAGTATTTGTATAACTCGGACAAATAGCTGAGGGATAGTTCCAAACTTCCCTATAATCTTTAAATTCTTCTAGTTTCAGTAAAAATTCTAAATGACCAAAAGTCTGCACCAAAGGAATAACTTTTAAATTGTTTTCTTTAGCTAAATGATTGATTGTTTTGATTTCTTCTAAAGTGTACGAATTAAAGGCAGTTACATTTTTTAAAAGAGGGCCATTATAAGGAAACATATCTTCGTATTCTATTAGAACACCTGTAGCTCCCATTTTAACCAGCAAAGGAAATAATTTTGAATAATAGGATATTTTTGGTGGGGCTCCTTTTAGATCCAAATGCACGATTCTTTCCTTGATAATAACAGTGGTTTCTCGAGGATTATATAATTTAGTTTTCAGCTTCCTTCCATGTTTTTCAATTTTTCGGTGTATATGTGTGTGAGAGGAGTGCTGAAAGAAATACAAATAACAGAAAAGTACCGACAATAACAAAAACACTACGGCAAAAACACGAAAAATTTTGATATTGTATATTGGTTTCATAACGCGATTAATCACATATCTGGTAGAAAGAATGTGTAGTTTTATGTTCAGTGCATTTTGAAATGAAATTTGACGATGTATTTCTGTTATAAATTACGAAATTCACATCTTTGAACTTTGAGATTAAGCGATCTTAACCTGTACAAGTTTACATAGTTGAAAATCGATACAGCGATTCAAATACTATGATGCAATTAATTGTTGTAAGTTGTAATATTACATAGTAATTAAGTACATGGGTACTACCAAAGTACTGCATTTTGTTGAATTTTGATTTCTTTTTATTATCACTAATCAAATGATCAAATCAAGTCATTTTTTAAATAATTTTAAAACCCTATTTAAAATTTAAAAGGCTTCAACTAGGGATGGAAACAGTATATCGATATATTAAAAGTATCGATATATTCATAAAAAAAGTTGAAATATGGAATTTTCATCTTAGCATATTTTAAGATTATTTTTTATTAAAAAAAAAAATAAAGAAAAATTGTCTTATGAGGGCTAACTTTTGAACGTAAATAAAAAACCTTTTTTTAAGAACCTTTACATCCTTTTATTTCATATCAAAATAGCATTATTATTCATATCATCCTAAATATGATCATTCATAATTCAAAGATATCAATCTAAAATCTAAATAAAAACAAAAATCAGATTCGTGGACAACTAGCATTCCTCTTTCATTTCCGTCATGTCCATTTATTTTTGTATGAAGCGTGGTATGGAGAGTGAAGATGAAGATATGATATATCACTAATGATCATATGATAATGATAATACGAATGAAAGTACCGTATGATCGAGAAAAAACGGCGTCAAAGGCGGCTGGGGAATGACTATCGATGCTATTTTTGACGAGTTAGAACTCTAGACGTCAGTTACTGAGAACTGACATAAAATTTGTCAAAAATTAATACCTTATATAGGAAAACCAGAAAAAAATAGTTTAAAATATTAATTAACTTTGAGCAGAGTTCGGCCTCGTCAAAAATAGCATCGATAGTCATTCCCCAGCCGCCTTTGACGCCGTTTTTTCTCAATCATACGGTATCTCTCAAATGAAAAGCATGCGAACAGGAACAATACGGAAGTCATGATACAATCAACAATCAATATATGATCTGTGATATGATCAATACGGAATAACAAGGGAATAACTTGTTCACTAATGACCACATGATAATGATATTATGAATGAGAGATGAAAGTATCTCAAATGAAACAAGCATGCGACAAGAACAATACAGACACAGAAACACATGATTCTATGATCAATCCACATTTAACATCAACAATCAAATGAATCAACACAATTGTTTCTTATGTAATACTTGTAATATAAATATCACGATAGAGATAGAGACAACGAGCGCAATTCCCTACGATATAGCAAATCAACTCTCAACTAGTCTTCAGTCTGATCAATGATCATTTTTATTTTCAATTAGTTTAAAGGCCCTGCTTGAGCAGAGCTACAGAAAAATTCCTTATAGACTCATTTGAGTTGACCCCCGCCACGGAAATCTTTAGTAAAAGGCGAAAGATTTATTCGCTCTGACGGGAGTCCAGAGTAACGTTGGAAACCCATTTTAAACGGTTAATTTGAATATGACCCATAAGATCAGCGAGTTGTAGTCTGTGATGCCATCTTTCAAGAGACCCGCAAACAATATTTGACACCTGTCAATATCAAAATTCATCCCTGGCTGTATCTTGTGTTGTCTAATCTATTTTACTGCTGCTAATTCATATCGTTGTATCTTGGGTTGCCTATATATTCTATATTTGACTGTGGTTTTAAATAAAATTTATAAAGATGTTTTTGATTTGGAGTTTTTCCTTTATTCAACCTGTTATCAGTATTGAAATATATTTTAATTTCATTATAAAATAATAATACGTCATATAGAAACAAGAACAACAATGAAACAAGAGATTAATAATAGTTCAGAGAATATTTAATATTCAACGTTTTTTGACTAGCTCCTGTGGATTAACTTCTTTCCCAAACCATATTTGATACTCTCTCAATCAATTCATTTAAGTAGTATCTCCCATTTTCAAATATTCCACATCCTTGTGCTTTATATAGGACAGGAATACATTGTAGAACATGGTAACTGCATTAATATAGAACACCTGGTATTTTACAGGTACAAAATAAAAGTTTATAAACTGGGTAGGCACCCAAACACACCAATCAATCTATAAGATAAAAATATTATGTATTATAACAGTGATAAATATATCTTTATGGTAGTCCTTACAAGATATACATCTAGAAATTTCGATGTTATTTCATCATTCATTTGCTGAACAGGCTTTCTTTCTAATGCCCCCATTGTATAGAAAAAGGTGCATATACATAGAGGACCCATAAGAAACTGGTCCAGAGCAAGTTTCTTTGTTATGGTGCTGAAATCTCTCTTTGGCCATATTCTTGCTATGTAGAGGTAGTAATAGTGATGGATAGGACCTAGTCCTAACCCAACTAAGAACATTCGAGCTAAAAAGTAACAAAAATATAGTGTAATTATAAATAAAAAAATGTATAAATGTTAAAACACCCTACTCATTCTTCCATAGTCATATCTTTTTGCTAATATTCCTCTGCGGTACTCAATTTCTTGTTCGCAAATATCTCCCAGCCACATAAGTACCCCCGAACTTATGATATTTGTGTGAAGTAAGTATTTGCCGAAGACCAGTGATGGCAAATTATGCATGGCGCTTCTTTTGTTGCTCGTCGTCGACACATTTCTGGTTTGTGTTCGTACAATATATCGGAAATTTCGGGACAATTTGAACATTTTTCGGTACCTTTTTCTGTTTCTTCTTTATTACGACTATATCTGGACTACTTCAAATAAGAATTTTAACATACATTATCTCAATTTCGTTATCTTTCATTTAATAATCGGATTTTGCGAGATTATCACTTCAAATAGGTATCGAAACCTTGGAATTGCGTAATATCTCTACACCTTTACACATTGTATTAGCGATTTATTAATACAGGAATTTTAAATCATATCGACAAATTTGAAAATTGATTCATTCAAATCAGCTGATTTTTGACAAATTTAAATTTCTTCTACAATCCAAAGACAAATAAAAATATAGCTCGCTTTCAGCGCCATCTTTTGTTAAGCCACTGAACTACTTTAAGAAAATTACTATAAAAGAAATGTTTTGTATAGAGACCTTTCCAAAGATGGCGCCTGGATCGATTTTTAAATGCTTTTTATTTTAAACGATTTTAGTTTCTGCGTAATTTTATTCAAAATTAAACTATTTTTGATCTATCTAGACTTAGATAAAATAAATATTTAAACACAGAAAATAGTAGGTATGTAAATGATAAATGAAATGTATTTTAATTACAAAATAAAATATAAAAACATTAATTTAACTTACAATTTCTGTCCCAATATCTCCACATAGCTCTCTATATATACGCAACACGTTGTATATTTTGTACTGTATGTTCTTATACTGCCATACAAACTGTGAATGTGCATTTAATTAATAAAATATACTCTTATATTAAAGATTATTGCAGTATCTTTTTCTTTTGTTGATGGGTCAAGTATTATTGTATGCGTTATAATTGTTTGATAAAATGTTTCAATTAGAGCTGGTTTATTTATAATAAGGTTTATTTTAAAAGCTTTCCACTGCGGGCCTGCATATTTTCAATCAGTGCTAATAAATTATATCCTATTTAACTCTGTAATTTTAATGCTAAACTACATAGGGAAGCAAGCGTTTATTTTAGGCTCATAGTTTATGGCAATAGAAATACTAATTAACGTAATCTATACTGTTATTGTAGTAATATTAAAGATATTTTATGATTGCTTTTATTTTTAAGATTTCAAATAAAATCAAAATAGACGGCTTAGCAGGGTTGTCATGTTTAGCAGTCTAAAGGAATAACAATTTTCTCAATATCCTATAGAATTTTAACACAAACGGTCAAAATAATTAACAAAAAGTCATGTAAAAAACTAATTTTAAGTTATCGTTTAGTGGTAGATGCAAAATACAATTGATTATAAATTTAATCAATATAAAAACTCACCCTTTACAAATCTGGCAGCGTTGTAATCTTATCACCTGTCTTTCTGCCGTTTCGTTTTTGTTTTGTTTACAAGCACAAAAAATCGTTATTTTGTAAATTACAAGCAGAATTTTGGATATTTATGTGTATATTCGGATAGCTTTGAGGTACTGTGATTCCTTTTTCACTAAAATTCAGTTCTTTATCGTTTCTAACTATCAAAATTGATCGGTTTTGTTAGATGAAGAGGTTAGGACCATGGTACAAAGAAAACAAGGTATGATCGATAGCGGCTCCAATTTCGTTAAGTTTGCGCATACCACCTGTGACGTCATACGCTATACAAAAAAATATCCGTATTGTTCAATTGCCACTAATAAAAAAAGACCTAAAATAGGGAAGAATTAGGACATAACCCCAAAAGTTATGTCAAATCATGGAGCTTGACATTTGAAAAATTATTTTCACATTTTTTGTGTCATCTGTTTGACAATTTGAAATTGGCGCGCGGAGATTGCCGACCAATGGTACCGTTTATCACCTGTGACGTAGTGACCAACCTGCGCAATATCATACCATGTATTCTTTGTATCATGGGTTAGGACTGTGTTTAAGGGCGGTGATGAAATTATCCCCAAGGGCCAGACATTTTCGGTAGCATTTCGCGATTTATTTAACTGAGTGAAAATGCCAGATTCTCCAGAGAAGGAGGTTCAGGTTGTTCGAGACATTAAGGTAAGCTTTTTTTATAAATTTGCTTAATAATGTTCGAAAAAAAAAGAATATATGTCAAATTTTGACATATAAATCTTCGAAGGTCGTTGACCTCGGGTCAGAATTTTTGCTATTTTGAGTTAAAGGATGATTTTAAAAAGATATAAACAGTGTAGAATGTGAATATTTGCGTATATAAATTGGTAGAAAGAAAATTTTTCTTAGTGTGGCTTAGTGAAGCTGAAAGTTGTTGTCATTATTCACTATCACTTTCTCTTGAACAAGTCGATCGAAATACAAATTCAAGTTGGTGTACAATAATTCGAAATTTTTATGCTTATTATCAGGTACAATTTGTGTTTTTTTTAAATAACTTATTACAATTAACTCGTGAATTTTAATTATTTTTTTAGTAAATAGATGGGACAATTTTTGTGACTACACCTAAGTAACGTTATTTGATAACTGTTAGTTCTGTTTTTGTGGTTGTTTAATATTCTACTCACGGTTATATACAGCATGTACGTTTGTACATGTGACATTAATATTTTAACGTTATTTTATTGTATGTCAGACTAAAATTTCATGGCAATTTAGTACCTATGAGTATTATGGTTATTAATTATTGTATTCGGGCCAGACTTAAGGTATTTTTCTACCTGTTTTAAAAGCTCAGAGCGTGAAAAATATAAGTTTAAAACCAGAGTGTACTACATGATAAAAAAAACGGCGTTACCGTGGCTTTTACAATGATGGGGACTGATATAATTTCTGTCTATCAACTCCAAGAAAAAAATCAACTATATTTTCATGGTTTTCTTAATTTTCTCTAAAACGGTATGGAAATTTAGAAAGTTCAAACGGGATTAACCATTTTAGAACAAGCAGACATTTTTAAGAATGTATTTTTCTCAAAATGTCAATAATAAAAAAGTTTTTCCTTTTGTAAAGACATAGTACTGTATATTATTTCCCATTGTTACCCCCTTTTTACATTGTCACTCTGTATATAAATTTACAAACAATGCTGAAATATTTTATTAAATTAAATTATTAGCTTTGTTTATTTATATTCGTTATGTGGAATTTTTTTAAAAATTAATATGAGTATAATCAGAGGGTATTGAGAAATTGCAATTAAAATGTAATCCGCTGGTATTTTTGTATTTATTTGTTTTTGGTTGAAATTTGTACCTTATCAGAAATGCATAATATTCTATATTGAACATCGTTATGACCGGTTCATTGTCCTTATTTTCAAAATTATTTTTGTAAAAATTATACAGGGTCCAACAATAGTACGTCGTGCATCTGTAGCTCCTAGAATAAAAAACCTGAGAATGTTGTTTTTAAGTGTAAACCTTAATAATCCAGTAAAATTGTATCGCCGTGTAGAGTGAAAAAAAAATTACGGGCAAGCTGATTTTTTCCTCAGCGACTGTCTTCTGAGCAATAGGGGTGTTTTTTTTTAAAACTGTACTACAACAAAATAATTAGACGCAATTTGTACATAAGAACATTCTCTATAAGTTCCCCTAATGAATTTTTTCTATAAGTTTATTATTTCCGGACTTAGCGGCCGTTTCATGAGCCCTTTGGGTTGGTTTTCAAAAAGTTTGTTACAGCAAATTGACCCGTATGAAAGTTGTTCATAATAAATGGACAAGCAACTTTTCCTCATTAATTTATTTTGGAGCTTGATTATTTTTGGAGATAGCGTCCAGTTCATGAACAACTTACTCTTTTTTCAGCAAATTCACCCTAGGAAACTCGTTCAAAATAAGAGTACATATACCTTTGCCTTATGAACTATTTTTGTAACTTGACTATTTTTGGAGATAGCGCCCAGATCATGAACAAGTGGTGGTAGCTTTAAATTTAAATGTCTTTTTTTTTCAGGAAATTCACAAGTGCTGTTGGAAAATGGATTCGTGTTTTATTTGCAAGAAATTTTTCTTTTTAGTAAAAAGAGTTTGCATGTAATTTTAATATGAACACCTTTAAGTTTGTAAATTTGCAGAACTATGAACTGGACGCTATCTCCAAAAATAATGAAGCTACAAAAAAAATCATGAGGTTAAGTTGGGAAAGTCCGGAAATAATAAACTTATAAAAAAAAATCATTAGGCGAACTTATAGAGAATGTTCTTATGTACAATTTGCATCTAATTATTTTGTTGTAGTACAGTTTAAAAAAACACCCCTATAGCTCATAAACCGCAAGGGGAAAATTTCCGATTTTGTATATTTTACACTCAGAAGACAGCCGCTGACAAACTCTGAAAAAATCAGCTTGCCCGTATTTTTTTTTCAAATGACAATTTTATTGGATTATAAAAAAGTATGTACGAGGATGTATTTCAGGAAAAAAATTTAACTTCTATAGGGTAACTGAAAAAAGTGTGAATGGATCGGGATGATTTTTTTAAATGGAATACACTGTATATCATGGCATTTTTGGCTTTCTTTCCCCCCCCAGATCACTTTACATAATCTTAATATATTATGAGTAAATGTATTTCGATAGATTCAGAAATATTTATAAGAAAATAAAAAATATATATTTTTCAGTCTTTCTTAAAAAAATTATTAAAAATACAAGAGCTGTCGTGAAATCAAAACTATATTAGATATTGACTTTAGATGGTCTGTACTTGCTTCGCTATAAATATGGTAATCATAAATCATACAGGATGTTCAAAATTCTACACCAAACTTTCTAAAATACAAAATATTTTTCTTCGTTTTTTTTTTTTAAATGACGGAGATGATTTTTTTTTAAATGATATTTAGAACTGATGGAGAGTTAAAAAATTAGCATTTTTCGTATTTAGAGTATTTCAAAATTGTTAACGGTTTCGCAGATATTCGCGGTTTTATATTTCATATTTAATTTTTCACAGCAAATTTTTATCAAAGCCACCCAATGATTTTTCTCTCGTATTTTACCGTTGAAATAGCCATATTCGTCGGCTTTATGATGAAAAGGCGTATCTCGATTTTTGCTATTTTTCAGGAGAGCAATTTAAAGAAAATCACTTACTTTATTTGGCCAATAAATGTAAAGTCTTTAATTTTTTAATAGTTTTTGTATTAACACTTAAACGGAGACATTGAGGAAACGTTCTGAAGATAAATTGAGCGTAAATTCTAATAAATAATTTATTTCTAGTTGTTTAATAGAGATAGGCCTTTTTGTTATAATAATAATAAATTTATTTCCGAACGAATAGTATACATACGCCCATGGAAAATAAATTTAAAAATGACGGTAAAGTGTTTTTAATAAGAAAAAAAATGATACAATATTTACATTATGGAATACTTACAAGAAAATACAATACATACATACAAAAAAAAATCTGAAAATCGCCAAAAAATCAGAAACAAATATTTTTAAATACTTTTATTCGCGTTGGATTAGATCAACTGAAAACAAAGACAATTTTCATGCCAGAAGCAAAGGCAATAATCAATTAAAATACTCTTATCTAGCTTATTTTAATAATATTGTTTTTTATACAAAAATGCATTTTTTAACTAATATATTTTTAGTAATTTTTTAGTTAATTGAGGGCATCAATACAGGGCATTTAAACTCACGGTCCATATAATAAAAACCAAACTAAACAAAAACAAAACATGTTTCTTCATTCGTTTTTTTTTTATACAAATAACTGTGGAGTAACAGTTTCTGTTTTCCCTGTTCAATGATAACAAATTCGACTTTCCATATGATGATAGGCAAAATAAATAAAATTTTCCAAAAATTGGTAGGGATGACAATGCCAATGGCCTGACAATGATAATGAGATGAAAATGATTGTATTTTTCGGGCAAGTTTTTGGTTCGCTAAAATGTTCTTAGAGAAATTATGATTTGGGGAATTTTTTTTTCCAATAGGGCAATTTTCGTTTCGTTGTTTTGCTTTCGATAAAATTTTCCTTTGCGGCCATTTATTCTCGGACAATCTTTTGCATACCCGATACAGCTATGTGCAGAGTCTAGCTCATTCTAACAATGGTTTTTGGCAAAAAAATAGACTCTAAAATCACACTGTAAAAGAGAGCTGCTGCCATGATAGAAGTTTTATTTTGTCCCAAGCAACCGTCAGAAAATAATTAGGTAGAATGGTGTGATTTTCTAGCATGCATTTTCATAACTTAAAACAAAAGGACCTATCTCAAATTCCATCTTTCTTGTGGTATAACAATTGGTATAACAATAATTGATATAACAAAGAGCCTTAACTCAACATACGTCTCTTCGTCATAACGAGATGGGGCAAATTTTTAAACTAATATAAAATGAAAAAGGTACAATATTGAGATGCGCAAATTCGCTATGTTAAAATATGGCCCATTGGGCATGTCATGACGTTGATATCTCAAAATCGCCAAAAATCGAGATACGCCTTTTCGTCATAAAGCCATTAAAAATTTTGAAATACGTTAAATACAAAATTTTTTTTTTATTTTTAGCAAAGATCAGCAAAAAAGAAGTTTTTTTAATTTCACTCAAAATGAGTTATTTCGGTCATAAATGTCTGTCTGTCTGTCCGTCTGTAACACGATAGGTAACTCAAAAACCGCTAAACCGATTTTAACCAAATTTGGTACAAAAATTCTGTGGCACCCGAGAATCTGGCCATTAGTTTTTGGTGGGGGTGGGGGGTTGGTAAGGGGGTATGGGAGGGGGTTAAAAATTTAAAAAAATCGTAACTCCAAAATTACAGTAGCTAGCGAAACGCGGTTTTCAATTTAAGATTAGGAATAATATTTGCAGCAAAATTTGTAATAACATCAAAATCAGTCAAAGTCGCAGTTTTTGAAATAAAAAAAATTGGAAAAATTCCTTTACTTTGAAACTAATAGAACTGCCTACCAACTTTTTATTAACATATTTTAGTATGGGTGGCTATTCGTGCCTCCCGGCGCCAATTTTTTATTCTAGGAGCTACAGACAATAGTTGCCGGATACTGTATACCTACCAAAATAGCAAAAGATATAAAGAAAATATC